CACAGGCCACGATACGATACATATCTCGATACAGTGCACTTTCGATTCAATATGATATATTTCAAATCGATTCGATACGGTTCAGTAAAAAATAAAGGCTAAATCGTGGCTGTGATACAAAAAGGCTTTGTTAAATTACTTCTTGTGCAAAGTTCATCTGAAACACAAACATTTTAATCCTCAAAACAGTAAAAATGTCAAATTTGTCGCATAAATTAGTTTCCTTTCACTCCACAATTAACAAAACTGTAGCTCTGTAACAAAATAATTTAGTAAAACACACCTAAAAATACTCTTGGTGAAATATCGATACAGCAGCCCACGATATCGATACTGTATCATCTTAAAACTTCTTAAAATCTTAAAACTATTACAAGCGCATTCACCATTTGTTTCTTTCTGTCCCCATCAGAGTGTGGGAAATCCAGCAGATTAAAGAAGACGACCGCACATCAGGAAGAGGTGAGGCAACTTCAGGCGTATTAACCAGACTCCAGAGTCCCACTACACCAGCCTCCTGTCCCGGTCCAAGGACAGAGAGGAGACTGGAGAGGAGGAGGAGAAGAGGAGAGGAGGAGGAGAGGAGAGGAGAGGAGAGAGGAGAGGAGAGGAGAGGAGGGGGAGAAATAGAAGAGGAGAGAAGGGGGAGAATAGAAGAGGAGAGGAGGAGAAGAGGAGAGAAGGGGAAGAAGAGGAGAGGAGGAGGAGGAGAGGAGGGGGAGAATAGGAGAGGAGAGGGAGAAGAGAAGAGAAGAGAAGGGGAAGAAGAGGAGAGGGAGGAGGAGGAGAGGGAGAAGAGAAGAGGAGGAGGAGAGGGAGAAGTGGAGAGGAGGAGGAGAAGAGGAGGAGAGAGAGAGAGAGGGAGAGGAGAGAGAGAGGAGAGGAGAGGGGAGGAGGAAGGAGGAGGAAGAGAGGAGAAGAGGAGAGGGAGAAGAGGAGAGGAGAGAGAGGAGAGGGAGAAGAAGAGGAGAGGGGAGGAGGAGGAGAGGAGAGGGAGGAGAAGAGAACAGGAGAGGAGAGGGAGAAGTGGAGAGGAGAGGGAGAAGAGGAGAGGAGGAGGAGAAGAGGAGAGGAGGGGAAGAAGAGGAGAGGAGGAGGAAGAGGGGAGAACAGGAGAGAGGGAGGGGAGAGGAGAGAGAGAGAGGAGAGGAGGGGGAGAAGAGGAGAGGAGGGAGGGGACAGGAGAGGAGGAGGAGAGGGAGAAGAGGGGGAGGAGAACAGGAGAGGAGGAGGAGAAGAGGAGAGGAGGGGGAGATGAAGAGAGGAGAGAAGAGGGAGGAGAGGAGGAGGAGAAAAGGAGAGAGAGAAGAGGAGAGGAGAAGGAGAAGAGGGGAACAGGGGCGAGAAGAGGAGAAGAGGAGAGGGAGAGCAGGAGAGGGAGAAGAGGAGAGGAGAGGGAGAAGAGAGGAAGAGGAAAGGAAGGAAGAAGAGAAACGGAGAAGGGAGAGGAGGAGAGGAGAGGGAGAAGAGGAGAGGAGGGGGAGAAGTGGAGAGGAGGAGGAGAAGAAGAGGAGGAGGAGAAGAGGAGAGGAGGAGGAGAAGAGAAGAGGAGGAGAAGAGGAGAGGGAGAAGAAGAGAGGAGAGGAGAGGAGAGGGAGAAGAGGAGGAGGAGGAGAAGAGGAGAGGAGGAGAAGAAGAGGAGAGGGAGAGGAGGAGGAGAAGAGGAGAGGAGAGGGAGAAGAAGAGAGGAGGAGAAGAGGAGAGGGAGAAGAGAGAGAGGAGGAGGAGAGGGAGAAGAAGAGGAGAGGAGGAGAAGAGGAGAAAGAGGAGAAGGAAGGGGGAAGAGAGAAGGAACAGAGGGAGAGAGGAGAGGGAGAAGAGGAGAGGAGGAGGAGAGGGAAAAGAGGAGAGGAGGGAGAAAAGAAGAGAGGAAGAGGAAAGGAAAGAAGAGGGAAAAGAGGAGAGGAGGGAGAGTCGTATTTCCTCTTGCTCTTTAGATCAGAATGAGCAGGAAAGTTCTGCGGCCCAAATCTTGAGTGCGCTGTGGCTCCTCTCTCCTTTATTCAGATCATAAAAAAAAAAAGTCACACTTTGAGCCCTTTTCCCGTGATGTCGTTGCTCCGTTGCTCTGGTCTTCTCAGAGTTTTTGGTCAGACTCAGACTTATTATTTCTCTCATGGAACGTGTGCTTCTTCTGCTTCTTCTGCTTCTTCTGCAGAAACAGGACTACTGTGGTTCAACGCAAGAAAAACGACCTGACGAAGGCCGTTCTTTGCATTTGCACGTCTACAAGAACTTTGGTGTGTGTTTTCTGTTTCGTTTGATTCATTTATTCATAAGCCATAACTCTGGTTCTTGTAAACTTAAATCCAGTCGGTTTAACAAACAGAAAAATCCCGTTGTTTTGTTTGTTTAGTCATGCAAGAAATAAACACCACGTCACAGAGTTCTGCTGCATCCCGCTGTGGAAACACATCCAGCTCTGGAAAAACACGGAGCATCCTCTTGTGCATCTGTGTGCTTCAAAACAACATCCGGAGATAATCTGTGAGGCGGGAGTACGAAGCCAAGGAAAATATAAACCCAGCAGTGTCAGGCAGCAGATAAAGTACGAACGGTTTAACTAAAATATTATCCTGTTTTATCAGACTCACGATGATAATTATGAAAAAAAAAAAGTAATATAGTGTAAGTTCAGTAAGTTATATTATCCCATATCCCAATTAAAATAAACCAAGAAGTTCAATATGTGCATTAGAAATTGTTTTAGATGCGATGCCTCCCCCTAGTGGACGAGTTTAATATTACAAAACACATCACCACCTTCAGAAAAGAACAAACAGGTGCCAAAAAATCAAATAAACAGACCTAAATTAAACAAATTACGAGATTAAAGTGATTAAAAGAGGTTACATACGCCAACTTTAACCCATAGAGATATTATTCATGTACTAAGGTCAGATCTGTGGAGAGGCGAGCCCACTTACAGAAAGAAAGAAGAATCCATATTTTTTAATGGAATTTTGAGCAATAAGAAACACTTATAACTCAATGCAAAAAAAGATAATTTAACACCATATTCTGTGGAAAGGATGTAATGTCCATGGAGACAAACTGGTGGCGTAACCTCCTCCAGAAAAGTTACGTAGTGCGTCTTTAAAGGGCCTGTGTTACTCTATTTTTTGATTATCTACGTTATAATGTTGTTTCCTCATCAATTTTTGGTCAGAGTTTTGTTTTGTTTCATCCACACACAGAAAAAAATTGTAGTGTTAAAATTGACTCTCACTGAATCAATTTGAACATTTTCTCAGGGTTTATGTGAGTCCAATCTGTTCTAGAGTTAATTTTACACTTCTGGAAATGTTAAGTAATACTGGGTCAAAGTTCCCATTTAACCCGGAAATCAAGAGTTATATTAACGTTTTGAGAGTAAACGGAAAACACTTTGTTTGGGTTATCCTGATTTTGCTAAACAACACACAGAGGTGTTTTATTTTGACACTTTATTTTCGTTAATTTAAAATGAAATTATGAACAAAACTGGTTCAAACTGGTCTTGTCTCACAGAAGTTTTAAGTGGTGGGTGGGAGGAGCCAAATTAACGCTAAGAGAAGTTGAATTAACACTAAAGGAAAGTTGAATTAACTGCAATCATATAAACTCTGGTAAATAACCCCAAGTCGAACCCCCATTTAACTTTCAAATAGTTAAAATAACACTTAATAACACTTTTTGTGTTAAAAACAACTCTGAAATATTTTACCCTGAAATTTTAAGCCTCCAGTTTTTGCTGTGCACATGTTTAACACACAAACCCTGCATATTTAGGCTGAGCTCTTTTCTTGAAAAACAAAACAAAAACACTCTGTTCCACTTTGTGATGTCAGGTGACAATACAGGAAGTGCTCCACTGTGTTTTTAAACTCCACACACCTTCACATAGAACAGGGGTCACATGTCAAAACACAGATGAAGCAGAGAGCTGATCAAGGGCCATCGACTGGTGGTCAGTACAGTGAATAATTGAAATATGTGCATTTTTAACTTGGTAGAATGAGCCATCAGGCCTCTGTTCAAGCCTACAATCTCAAAGGTGCACACTAAATATTCAATATTGGCTTTATCATGGTAGATTTTCACATAACTTGTCATAAAAAGTACTTAAGGTAATTTGGGCCAATTGACCTGGAAGCCTGAGGACCAAGAATAATTGATATGAGGGCCGCATTTGGCCCTCGAGCCATAGTTTGGACATGCCTGACATAGAATCATCAATTGTCTATCTCTACTGAAATAAAATAAATAAATAAAAAAACAGGTAAAAGGAGCTGTTAACTTAAAAAAACAGCAACAAAAAAACTACCACGACATGACATCAGAAGGTGAAACAAAACATTTTGAGCTTTGGAGATGAAGACAGACTAATAATAAAGAATTACTCAAAGATTCTAACGTGGCATAATTTTCATGTTCCAAAATTTGTCACATCAAGAGCTCAGTTTTGCCTACGATACAGAGGCTGTAAATTCTGGAGCCAGTTTTCACATCTGATTAGTGACGGCATATTAGAGGTGTTGTTTAAAAAGAGTTTGAGGAAATGTTTGATATTTCATGGTGATGTTTGATAATATTTCATTGTGTTTTAATCCATGTTTGAATCAAAAGAATTTAATCCATGGTGTTTTAATCTAATTTCTCTCTCTCTCTGTGTTTTTTGCCTCTTCCGGCACCTACTTTTTATGTAGTCTGTTTCTTTTATTTATTATTTCTTTATTGTCATGTTATATGTGCAAAATAAATAAATAAATAAAAATAAAAAAGCTCACAAGAGTAAATTTTGCATTAATATGGGACCTTTAAAGATCTTTGTTTGTTTAATTTTGAGTTAGATAATATCTGCACCGTGGAGGTTTGTGGAGTGACAGAACCTGACTCGTGACACTTGCAGGGTGTGTGTTTCTGTTTGTGTGTGTGTGTGTGTGTGTGTGTGTATATGTGTGTACTTCCTGGTCGCTGCCATGGAAACCAAACCACGACGACTGTCCGTGCGCCTTGGCCCCGCCCTCTGCAAAGTTTGCTCTTGACAAATTCCTGCACAGAGTTTGGGCTCGTGTAACCCACAGAGAGAATCACAGAGAGAAAGAGGACAGATCAGCTCCGACATCTCACTCTAGATTCTCACAACGAGACGCTTTCTTTACGTTTCTGCTCCCGGTAAGTAGCGTTAGCACATGGACTTTTACGCACGATTACGCAGCGCATCATTTCATAACTTGGCAGCTCCCCACGACAGAGAGAGGAGCTAAACAGGTGTAGGATCATGGGAAATATTAGCTACTTAGTTTAAAAAGACTCATTTTTAAAAAGCACCGCTAGGCAAGTTTGTCTTTACGCTGTTGTTGTTTTTTAATCTCGTCTATCACACGTGTCATTAGGTCAAACCTGTTCTGCGCTTCCTTGTTTCTTCACTCTTATTGCGCTGCTGTTTTTGCGTTATTTTCTATATTCTTAATAAAATCTAGGACATTTCAAATTGCAGAGGCATATTCTTTGTAATTATTAAACGATTTATTTACGAATTGTGCTCAAAATACGCAAAGGCAAGATACTGTTCAGGCAGGACTTGGCAACTTGTAGATTCATCTATATTACGAAATGGACTCTTGTGAGTTTTAAACCGTGTTACATAATCAAAAACCTACCTAGAGTTGTGTTTTGTTTCATTCACATGTTTGAGTAATCCTTTATTGTTAGTCTGTTTTCATCTCCAAAGCTCAAAATGCTCCCTTCCACCTTGTGATGTCATGTATTGATAGTTTAAATCAGCATCTGCAGCTACATTTTACCCAGTGTTGGGAAGGTGACTTTTAAAAAGTATTCCCCTACAGATTACAGATTACATACCCCAAAATGTAGTTTGTAACGTAATCCATTAAATTAAAGTGAGTAATGTAATCTGAATACTTTGGGTTACTTGAGTTGCTGTAGAGAAGCAAAGACTAGGATATCGTAGCATAAGATATTTTGTCTTCTAAAAGACAATGAAAAGCCCAGACTTTACTGAACCGTATTAAAAATATTATTGATAGAAGAGGAGTAGACACGTCCACGTAGCATGGTTTAGTCCTGTTAAATCCTGGTTTAGTCCTGGTTTAGACCTGTTTTAGACCTGGTTTAGATGTAGTTTCTAGTTTAGGCCTGGTTTTAGTCCTGGTTTAGTCCTGGTTTAGACCTGGTTTAGATCTAGTTTAGACCTGGTTTTAGTCCTGGTTTAGATCTAGTTTCGGCCTGGTTTTAGTCCTGTTTTAGTCCTGGTTTAGTCCTGTTTTAGACCTGGTTTAGATCAAGTTTAGACCTGGTTTTAGTCCTGGGTTAAACCTGGTTTAAACCTGGTTTTAGACCTGGTTTAGATGTAGTTTAGATCTAGTTTTGGCCTGGTTTTAGTCCTGGTTTAGATCTAGTTTCGGCCTGGTTTTAGTCCTGGTTTAGACCTGATTTAAATCTAGTTTAGGCCTGATTTTAGTCCTGGTTTAGATTTAGTTTCGGCCTAGTTTTAGTCCTGGTTTAGACCTGGTTAAGATCTAGTTTAGACCTGGTTTAGTTTCCAGCAATGAGTGGAATTATCGAAAAAAATAAAATTAAATAAGGGGGGGCCTCTAGCCCAAAATGTGAAAACATCAAAATACCGCAGTGTAATCCATTTATTTCAGCAAAGTAACTGTAATCCAATTACCACTAATTGAAACAGTAACTGTAACTGAATACAGTTACTCATAATTTGTACTCTGATTACATAACGCCGGTACATGTAATCTGTTACTCCCCAACACTGCTTTTACCTTTTACCTACAGATTGGAAAATCTAGGGCTGAAATTATCCAAATTATTCTCGTGAATCTGTGTGGACTTTAAAAACACGGTGGGGCACTTCCTGTATCACCGCATGACATCACAAAGTGGAACAGAGTGTTTTCGTTACGAGAGAAGAAACGAAAGAAGAAACAAAACACATCTCCGGGTCTGTTTGCAATGATGAAAAATTATAACATAAATCAGAAAACAACATAATTATATGGGCTCTTTAAAGGTGTATTGCGTACCGTAGCTTATCTCCATGGAGATGTTAATGACTTGTCTAGAATGTTCCGCAGTATAGCATTAAACATATCGATTTTACATGTATTGCAGTTATTGGAATTGCTAAGAAATGCTTTGATAAACTTGTAACCACTCGGCCTTGTGGTGACGCTTTTGTGTCTTTGGAGAATTTAATGCCAAACTGTGGGACATTCAAGGTAAAACAATGACATCTCCATGGAAACAAACAGGTAACACACTCTTCAACAGAAAAGTTATATAGTTAGTACATCTTTAAAGGTTGCTTTGTCGAGAATGTTTCACAGTATGGCGTTTAACTTATGTTGACATTATGTTGTCAGCAGGCAAAGTTACAAGTAAGATCTGTGGAGAGGCGACCCCCACTTGGAAATAATATGTATTTTTAAGTTATGTGGTGTAGACTGACTAATTGCAGAAGACATGGTTGGTGCACTGTGTGTCTGGTTGACGGTGTGGGTGGGTGCATGAGTGTAAAAATGCACACTTACCTATGACTTAGTTTGGTTGAAGGTCAGGGTTGCGTAGCTGTAACTTTTTTTAACCGCCACTGCTTATTCATTATCATCTTTAGTTCTTCCAACTGGTCCCATCCATCCTCTTTGCCACGCTGTAATAGCTGTTTGTCTGTTAATAAATATCCAAAAGACATTCTGGATCTCGGCGTATCTGTGTAGAATATCCTCCAAAGACCACGCCACAACAACGGAATAAAGTAAAGATATTTATTGATGATGGATACATGTGTTGTAGTCAAGACCGCACTAATCGAGACCAAGACCACAGGGGCCCGAAACCAGGACAAGACCAAGACTTTTAAAGGTCAAGACTGAGACAAGACCGAGACCACAGCCCATCGAGACCAAATCAAGACTATCTTTGTCATTTTTGACATTTATTTGTATTTTACAGTTATTTTGGCAAATATATCTATATTTTTTTAAATAAAAATCTATCCTCATTTGATATGATTAATGTTAATTTAGGCCTAAAATAAGCCAAGCAAACTATACTGCACTGAAACACTCTGCACCCCTTTTTTGGACCCTCACCCACAGTTTGAGAACCCCTTCTTTAAGAGAACTTCCACTGACACTTTACAGAAAACTGTGAAGAAAGTGGGTAGGATTTTAAATCAGTTTTTTTCAACTGGAGTTTTTTTTCAGCTGGAGTTCTCTTACTGGTTTTACAGTGGGGTTGAGCCTCTGCACATTTACCAAACGCACATCATGACAAATACAGATGCATTTCTGTACTTTTATTGGGAAAACTTCAGCCACATGTCACAGTAAGAAGTTTATTGTCGGCCGTAATGAAATATGATCGCACTCGTCGAGTGTCAGACCTCGAGTCCGAGACAAGACCGAGTCCAAGCGCTTTCAAGACTGAGTCTAAAAGTGGTTGAGTCTGAGACGAGACTAAGACCGGTCTTGAGTACTATGACACTAATGGATAGATGAGATGGCCTGAAGGAGACTCAGGATGGGGGCTCTGTCTCAGGACCCTCCTTCTTGTAGATGATGTCTTCAGACTGAAGGATGGACAAGAGATATGAGGTTGGATGGAGAAGGTCAAAAGAGTGGAGACAGACGGTGTTGTCGGGATAGGCCGTATAAATAGGGTTTGTGGGTAAATGACGTGGTTGAGCTGAGCTGTGGTTGGCCGGAGAGGAGCAGGGTTAGACTGAGGCCTGGTCCTGCTCCTGAATCTCTGTCCGTCATATTAACTCCACAAGCTTCGACCCCAAGACCCACTCTGATCTTCCCGAGCAGCTTTCAGGTCGGTTTAGGAAGCCACAGATAATAAAAGTTTACTCAAACTTGAATGAAACAAAACACAACTCCAGGTCTGTTTTTCAGGAGGGAACAACATTATAACATGACTTAAAGCTCACAAGAGTCAGTTTTGCGTAATAGAGGACGTTTAACGAGCAAAACAAAAGGCAGCAGCTTTAGTTCTTCTTTTCTTTTTTTTTTTTTTTACTTCTTTTAAAGCTAGTCATGCCTCTTGTGCAATATCTCTGTAAAATCCTGTGTACTTATCATTTCTGTGCAGAAGTGGAAAAAGTTACCAAAGAGTACAGATCTCATGAGCACTTATCTACTGTTTTTAAAGCTGTAATGTTTTGGTTGGGGGTCTGTCACCTGTTAGTTGCCATTACTCTGCCTGGAATGTTCCACAGTATGACATTAAACAGCTCTACGTTACATTTATTCAATTAAAGATGGTTTTACAGTGGTCCCTTTATATTTTACAATTATTATATCTGTTTAAAGTGTGTAAAACCCCTCACCACACATTTTATACACTTTTCTCACAAAGGACAGTTACAACCCATTTTTGCATCCTTCTTAAAACTTATTGCTGCTGTCGTCCTTTTGTTATTTTCCTCCTTCTTTATGTAACGAACCAAAGATTTATTTATTCCGTAATGAAGCCCTACAGCGCAGAGAACTGCACAGGTCCATTTTTGGAGACCCGCACCCGCGCAGTACAGCACCGCACCAGCCCATTAACCCGAGATTATATCAAACGTTTGCTCTGCCTATACCACGGACTGAACGAAGACTAAACCAGGACTAACCTAGGACTGATTCCAGGACCGAATAAAGACTAAACCAGGACTGAACTAGGACTAAAACAGGACTAAAACAGGACTAAACCAGGACTAACCTAGGACTGATTCCAGGACTGAAGAGGAGGACTAAACCAAGACTGAACTAGGACTAAACCAGGAATGAAGCAGGACTCACGATCGGGACGGGCTCGGAGGTGACCGCAGGAGAAAGGACCCTGCACAGAGCTCTGCACCTCACAGATTTAAATGCGGCAATTGCTCGATTGCGCTTTGTGGACACTCTGCTCGGGGTTCTCTCTCTTTAAGTCCAAGATTAGTCCTGGTTTAGACCTGGTGTAGTCCTGGTTTAGTCCTAGTCTAGTCATAGTTTAGTCCTGACCCGACTGTGATACGCAATACGTGTTCATACGCGGTTTAAAAAAAAGGGGGAAAAAAAGCTAAATTGGACAAAAAAAATAAAAAAAAAAAAAATCTGCGAAACGGCAAGGGACGACTGTACTGCTGAAAAATACCACAAATCTGACCTGTAACTTGGTCTGGTTTGTTCTCCATGTTGATAAAAAGTTTACCATACTGTGAAACCTTCCAGACAAACCAACAACATCTCCATGGAGAAAAAGTTTGACAGAAACCTCCACCGGGAAAAGTTACACAGTGCATCTTTTAGGTCAGTTCTCATCTTATCTATCTTTTATTAATTGATCTAATGGGCGGTGTTCCAGACCAGTGCACACACAGACTCTGCTCTTCTTGTCTGTCGATATTTAGGGACAACCTGAAGTCATAGTCAGAGTTGCGTTCGAGTTCGGGTTCAGATATGAGTCACAGTTTCAATCGAGCAAAGAGCAGCGTGTGAATAAGTAATGGGACCGTCATTTCAAACAAGGAACATCAAGACGGTTTGTTTATACCTTTAGTTCTTCGCATCAGGAGACAGAACTCATGAATATTATTGTTTTATTTTGTTTATATTGCGCAAAATAGACTCTTGTGAGCTTTAAGTCATGTTATAATGTTATTACGTCATCAAAAACGTATGTAAAGTTACGTTTTGTCTGAGTAACCTTTAATAATTAGTGTGTGTCTACATTTCCAAAGCTCAAAATGCTGCGTTCCACCTAACACCCACATTTTTAGCTTTAGTTTAGTAGGGATTGGCAGTTCCAGAGATTAATCGCTCATTCAAGTGAAGATGTATAGAGTTTAAAAACACATTCCACCGTGTGACATCGTAAGGTGGAGCCGAGTGGTTCTGGTTTGAGAGAAGAACTCCACCTAAAAACGCAGGGTTTGTGTGTTAAACGTGTGTGTATGAAACAAAACACAACTCCAGATACAGTGTGTTTTTGAAGAGGAAAATACATTATAACATAGATCAGATATGGGCTTTTTAAATTTACTTTATTTTATTTCATTTTTGTTTTACTGTAACTATAATGACAGACATGAAACACTAAAATAACAGACTTAGACTTAAACAAACTTTACTGATCCACAAGGGAAATTACTTTTACACAGTAGCTCACACATCACAGTATATTATAATAACAAAGAGCAACAACAAATGGTAATAATTATAGTCTTCATTTAATAGGCTCTATTCACGCTTAGTTCACAAACCAGGAAGACGTTTGGAAACATGCGATGACAACTTCCGACGAGCTCTGTTAGAGGTACAAGTCTGACAAAATCTAGAAAAAATGAGAAAATGGCCCAGTGTTACATGTTATTGTCGTGTTTGGTTATGTTTGGCTATGCAACAATTTCAACCATACCTCAGTTTTCTTCATTTTAATAATAAATACATCATTAACAAATAAATAATGCATTCATCTCAATTTGCCGGCAAATAATATTCACTCAGTGGGTTTTATCAGAGTCGGTTGGTGAGCCCAGTGTCTGTAACTACACTGAAGATGTCATTGTTTTCCTGGTTCATGACTAGACCAGGGGTGTCAAACATATGGCCCTCGGCTGATTTTCTACTAAAATATTTTTATTATAATTTCTATTAAAATATTGGTAATTTTCTGCGGTGCTGAGCAGAGCAGCGTCTCCAGCGTCTCTGTACGTGGCCCCTCCCACCAGAGCAGCACAAATGAAGACTTGTCTCTTTCCAAACGCTCTTAAAGGACGATCGTTTTGACTGTTGACCGTGACACCCTCATCAACAAAATGTCAAAGATGAGAACAGTGGACTTATTCCTATTTGCAAACAAGTTCATGTACATTGTGTTGAAATTGCATTTTTCATCAATTCATTAATTCAGTTCAATTAAAAAATATTTCTGTAATAAATTTGCGTTTCTCTGCACAAATATTAGAACTTATTGCTATTTTTGGGGTATATATGCCATGAGTTTACTGATCCGGCCTCTTTGGGATCAGTGTAAGTTGGATACGGCCCCCGGACCAAAATGAGTTTGACACCCCTGGTCTAGACGGTTTGCAAGAACCCCGGAAGTTGTAGACCGCGCATCATCCAATCAGTGAAGAGCTGTGAAGCCATGATGTCAAACTCGTTGCGTCTGTCTGTGTCCCTTTTGTGGAACAGCACAACAGTAAACAAAGCGGTCGAGATGGATGTAGACGAAGACAGACATTCTGTGTTGGCGACGATTCCCAAGATCGAGGATTTAAAGCCGGAACAAAGAGAATGTTTGGTGAATTTTATCAAGGGGAAAGACGTTATTGCCCTTCTTCCTACGGGATTTGGAGCATTACATACATTACAACCAAATAGCAAGCAACGAATGGTTAAATAAAAAAGTACCCATCTACCTGTTGAGCGAACGAATCATAATGCTGCGAGGTCAGATGGTTTCCACGAAGTGAAACCGTCCGCTGAATCAGGCTAGTCAAATAAGGCATAATTATATACATGTTTATGTACAAGTAAAAATAAAATATACACACATAGTAATACAAATATATCTCAGCTAGAGGTGCGCAAAGAGAAGGATAAATAATGCCATTGTGGGTTTTTTTTGTAATTCCACTCATTTCCAGAAACTAAACCAGCTCTAAACTAGATCTAAACCAGGACTAAACCAGGGCTAAACCAGGGCTAAACCAGGGCTAAACCAGGGCTAAACCAGGACTAAACCAGGACTAAACCAGGACTAAACCAGGACTAAACCAGGACTAAAACAGGACTAAATCATGCAGCGTGGACGTGTCTCCTCTTCTTATATCGATAATATTTTTAATACGGTTCAGTTCAGGTTGCTTCTCTACAGCAAATCAAGTAATCCAAAGTATTCAGATTACATTACTCACTTTAAGTAACTTAATGGATTCTGTTACAAACTACATTTTGGGGTATGTAATCTGTAATCTGTAGGGGAATACATTTTAAAAGTCACCTTCCCAACACTGACTGAAACTAAACTAGACCAAATTACAGGTCAGATCCGTGGAGATTCACATTCAGAATGCCTCTTTTTCTTGATATTTTTGAGCTATAAAACCACTTGTAATTGAGTAAATGTAAGGTAGAGCTGCTTAATGCCATACTGTGGAACATTCCAGGCAGAGTAATAACATATCAATGCAAAAAAGCAGGTGAAGGACCCCCAAATCAAAACTTACACACTTATTCACATTCATTCTTCTGTTGTGGGCTGGACTTTCAACCGTAGTCTCCTCCTCTTGTCTCTCTCTCTCTCTCTCTTGCAGGTTGCATCTCCTAATTAAAGAAGTGCGTGGTTGCTAAGAGATGACGAAATGCTGTGATGTACGACGGCTCTCGCTCCTCTGTCCTCTCCTCCCTCTGCTCCCCCGACCCGCTCAGACCATGTGAAGGACCAGTGGGAACTTGATTCGTTTTCCGTCTTCAAACTCCAAACTTCTCCACGCGCCATGGCCTCGTGCGCCTCCAGCGACGCGAGAAGGAGCAGCGTGGTCATGTCGAAGGTGAGGACGGCGTGGAGGAGCCAGACGAGCAGAGACGAAGGGGACGGGAGGAAAAATGGAGACGTTACGGGACAAAGCACCATCCTTGAGTTCTTCCAGATCTGTGACAGCGAAAACAAAGGATTCATCACGAGGAGGGACATGCAGGTGAGTGGAACGACAACCGCAGACTTTCAGTGTTTAGTATTTTGTTTATTGATACTTTGCACTGACATCACGCTGGGGAAGGTCTGTATGTATGTGTATGGTGGAATGTGCAGGAGTTACCATGCATACGTTAGTAAATACTGGGGATGGGAAGAGACATGTCACGAGATTTGGAAAAGTTTAATAGTTCACAAGTTTGGTTTAACAATTTTTTTTTAAAATTTAATTTTATTATTCTTATTCTTTTTTTTATTTTAAATTTAAATTTTATTTTTTATTTTACTTTATATTTATGTTTTATTTTATTTTTATGTTTATTTATTTATTTTATTTTATTTTTATTTTGTAGCACTGCTTTTTGGAACCAGTAACTCAGCAGTTTTTTATCCAAGGCAAATGTAAAAATATGAGGGAAAAAAATCTCACAAGATCTTTTTTTCCTCATTTATTTTTTATTTTATTTTATTTGTAGCACTGCTTTCTGGAACTACTCAGCAAAGTTAACCCTTTTTATCCAAGCAAAGGTAAAAATATGATGAGAAAAAAATCTCACAAGATCTTTTTTTTTTTTTTTCGTTTATTTTTATTTGATTTGATTTGATTTTTATTTTATATATTTTTAGTAGCACTGCTTTTTGAAACTACATCTCATCAAGACAAGTGATTCAGCAAAGTTAACCCTTTTTATCCAAGGTAAATGTAAAAATATGAGGAAAAAAATGTCACAAGATCATTTTTTCTCATGTGTACACAGTGTCACAAGAACTTGTGACATGAGATCTTGTCCCATCCTGAGCAAATACTACCAAAAAGATTTTAAAATAATATGGAATATATACTAAATTAATTTAAATTGGACTTTCAGGAGTGTGTAATTAGTACGAGTGTTCTGATTTGCTGGGCGACAGTAGCTCAGATGGTAGAACGTTTGTGCGCTGATCTGAAGGTTAGTGGTTCAAATCCTGCTCCTGACATAAACATTATTGGTTAAGAGTTCAGATCCACTGATCCACAGGTTGGCGGTGTGATTCCAGCTCCCACAGATGAATATTGTCATTAGAATAAACTAATTGAAATAATGGCAAAGGAGAAATTGAATTTGTCAACTGGACAAAGTTTATTTGGTCAAATATGTTTCGCTGCTCATCACACTCAGTGCATTTCAGTAACTAACAAACAGAAACTGTAAACAAGTAGGAGTGTTAGTTTCAGAATAATTTCATTGTAATGAGCTCTTTCCTGCAGACAGATATAAGGAAGTAGCCGTCAGCATTTTGACCAGAACTGAAGAAGCAGCTTGGATGAGCTGCGAAACGTATTTGACCAAATAAACTTTGTCCATTTGACAAACTGAATTTCTCCTTTGCCATGGATTCTACCTGGACGACTGAGGGAATTTACACAAATAAAAGTTATGATAAATATAACAGAGATAAACACTAGAATATTATCCAGCACTAACATATTAACATTTGCAATCACCAAGTCACAAGAGGGAGTGAAAAATGTTTTTTTTATAATCCTATATTACACAAAGTTTACTCTTTTGCATTTTAAGCCATGTTTTAATGTGGTTTCGTCATCAAAAACAGACCTGGAGTTGTGTTTTGTTTCATTCACACATGTTTGAGTAATGCTTCATTATTACTCTCAACATCTCCGAAGCTCAAAATGCTCTGTTTCACCTTGTGATGTCATGTAATAAGTTTTCAAGTTAACAGCTTCATTTTACCTTCAGAATCATAATTTTTTTGTCATTTCCATTAAAAAAAAAAAAAAAAAAAAAAAAAGGCACAGAAACCAAACACCATAGCTCAGTAGAGATCGGCAATTCCAGGTCTGAAATTATCCAAAAGATTCTTCTAAAGTTGTTAGGCATTTAAAAACACAGAGGAAGGTGGAACAGAGTGTTTTCCAGGTGTGTTTTTGATGAGAAAACAACATTATAACATATAACATAGAAACAGGTTATGAACATATTTTACATATTTTTCATGTTCAAAGTATATTTTATTCATTTTATGTTTCATACTTCACAAAACTGCTCTACATTTTTAGCCTATTTTTATTTACAATTTGAAAGTTTCAATAACAAATTGTTTTGGTTTTTTTGAGAGAGAGAGAAATTCTGAATAAATGCGTCATGTAACTAAAAAATTATCATTTGAATAATTGTGATTTCAATATTTACCAAAATAATCTTGATAATGATTTTTTCCATAATCGAGAAATTCTACTTGAACTTATGTTTTGTTTCATTCACACGTTTGAGTTATCCTTTGTTACTGTTTACATCTCCAAAGCTCAGAATGCTCTGTTCCACCTTGTGATGTCGTGTAATAAGTTTTCAAGTTAACGGCTACATTTTACTTTTAGAGAAACAGAATTGATGGTAATTTCAGTACAAAAAATAAAATAAAATACACAGAAACCAAACATGGTAGCTCAGAGATTTGCAATTCCAGGTCTGAAATTATCCAAAAGATTCTTCTAAAGTTGTTAGGCTTTTAAAAACACAGCGGAAGGGGGAACAGAGTGTTTTCCAGGTGTGTTTTTGATGAGAAAACAACATTATAAGATCACATATAACATAGAAAACACTGTAATATTGGCCCTTCAGCACTGAGCCATTTTCCAGCGCGCCTCACATTAAAGTGCGTCTGTCTGGCACCTTCGCTAAAATGCCAGGCCTGCGTCCACCACCACTCAACCGTCTATTAATAATCAGTCTATTGGGTAACAGGTGATGTTAGGGCATTATACAAAGTGCCCTCAAACAGTACGTGCCCTTTGTTATGCGGACACTTCACTGGCATTATTGTGCAGATTTCAGTGGCTCTTTGAGATCCGGGGCATCCTTTGATTCAGCTCTCGTCGGCCCCGTCACTGAAAAGCACCGATACGTAAGGCTTTGATCTCGGGATATGCAAATTTTTGGAGAAAATAAAATGCTACGAGGGCACTGTGTCAAACCCTCTCCGCTATTCACGAGGTACAATACGATTATATTTACTATTACGTCAGTCTTTGTTGTGTAATTTGTAGGAGAGATGGTGGTTTGTCTTTGTCTGACCATAGATTGTATAAAGAATTGGACTAAAGGAGTTTGACGTCACCCATAGCGTTCAACTCCAGTCAAATGAAGCTCATTGAGGTTAAAAAGTTATAGGACGACTTTGGAGCAGACTTCCATTTGAGGAATAGGAATTGATTCACGGACAAAATAGCGAAATAAAAACACCAGGATCATGTATACGAAGATTTTAAGACCAAATTGAGGAGCCCGACAGCAGCGGGGGACCTTGGGAGACCGAGCCTTCGCCTTCGCCGCCGCCCCCTCCCTCTGGAAATCACTCCCACAACCCATCAGGAACTCGGACTCACTGCAGCACTTCGTCTAAAAACTCACCTGTTCAAACTGGCATTCCCAACATGATTCCCTGTTTTCTACAGTGTTACTTTTTATTTGTTTGTAAAGCATCTTTGAGTGCGCTATATAAGTCGTATTATTGTTATTAGTAATTATAAGTAGTATTATAAGTAGTAGTAGTAGTAGTAGTAGTAGTAGTAGTAGTAGTAGTAGTAGTAGTAGTAGTAGTAGTAGTAGTAGTAGTAGTAGTAGTAGTAGTAGTAGTAGTAGACGACTACTACTACTACATTTTTCAGTATAACGTGAATTTGAGCTGGAGCCAGAGCTACTCTCACCTGGCAAAGCTTTTTAATGTTTTTCGGTGTCCTGGCGCTCCCACTGGACACCAAAACATAAATGTCTGCTTTGTACACTGTGCACATGGCCTCCCACTTGTCTCGACCAGGACGAAAATTGGGGAATTTCTTCTACAAGTCATTGTTAAATGTGCATTTGCGCTTCGCCATTTTGCAGGTTGACCGACTGTTTGTGTCTGCTTGCTCCTTCTGAGTGCACAGAGAGCTACAAGAGCTGATCAATGTAATGGCCCAGTGAACGGTAATGAAAACCCGGACATTTGCATCACTTTATTTAAAAAAAAAAAGAAAAAAAAAACACGGACGGCCAGGACAGGACGTGTAAAAAGGACATGTCCGGGGAAAAATGGACGTTTGGTCACCCTACGCTACACACCTACATTCGGTTTTTCGATTAAAAATGGACGTAAATTCTTAATGATGAATTATCGATTAATCGACTGATCATGCCCATCCCTAATTGTACCGTGACAATATCGTATCGTGAGACTTGGATATCGTTACACCCCTAGTTAAGAGGTCAGAATGTCTCTTTATCTTGGGATTTTTGAGCTATAAAACCACCTGTAATTGAATAAATGTCTGGTAGAGCTGTTTAATGTCACACTGTGAACATTTCAGGCAGATCACCAGGATATCCACTGAAACAAGCAGGTGACGGACCCCAAACGAAAATACTACACAGTGCGGCTTCTCTCTTCTTCTTCTTAGTCTCGTCTAGTAAAGGGAAACACTGCTGACCGTTCTGATGACACAGGGTTTTAAAGGGTCTATCATTTGTTCCTTTTCACAGTTTTAGTTGCCGTTTAACACCATGGTTACCCAAAGGGAGGTACCGCTGTGTGTGCGTTTGCTGACACAAGGGGTATGTCCGGGCCAGATAACACTTCACAAGAACAGCTGATACTCCCAAACACATTCTCTTTCCACTGTCCTGGTTATGAGGCCTCTGTAAATACTCAGCGCAGTGTACACACGGCATGACATCCCAGCAGCCAACAGAGGTGTGACTATTTAAACAAGTGGAGAGAAGTTGTTTAAATAAAGATTTGGGAGGTGCTTTTATATGTGTTCGATAAAGTAACAGCCTTAAAGATCCCGTGTTACGCAAAATGGACTCTTGTGAGCTTTAGGTCATGTTTTAATGCTGTTATCTCCTCAAAAACAGACCTGGAGTTGTGTTTTGTTTTGTTTTATTCGTTTCAGTAATCTTGTTTTAGTCTGTCTACGTCGCCAAAGCTTAAAATGCTCTGTTCCTGAAGTGAGTTTTCAAGTTAACAGCGACGTTTTAGCTTTTAGTTCAGCAGAGATTGGCAATTCCAGGGCTGATATCATCCAGCTGATTCTAGTGAAGGTGTATGGAGTTTAAAAACACAGTGGAGCTCTTCCTGTATCACCACATGACGTCACAAGTTGGAACGTTGGAGTGTTTTGTGTTTTAGAGAAGAAATCAGCCTAAATATGCAGGGTTTGTGCAGGTCGAGGTCTGTTTGTGATGAGGAAACTACATTATAACACAGATTAGAAAATAGCATCATATGGGAGCTTTAATGTTGGAGATTTGGCTCTGGACCATCTGTGGTGGTGGTGGGGAGGGGACGGGGGGCGCTAAGTGGTCAATGATTAGAGACCGTGGGAAGATGCCAGGTGCTTCAGTGCCCAGCGGTGCCAACACAAACACCACAGTCTGAAAACTGAATAAACATTTAACAAGAATTAAGGAGACAGAAGCCGACACGACCAGTTATGCAGCTGATTGTAAAGTAGACTCAGACTGAAGATATGATGATGTTATTAATGCAAAAAACAAATACATCATCACAACCTCTAAATACACTTACACACACTCTACACACACTCTACACACACTGTATACACACTATACTGTACACACACTGTACACACCCTGTACTGTACACACACTGTACACACACTATACTGTACACACACTGTACACACCCTGTACTGTACACACACTCTACACACACTCTACACACACTCTACACACACTATATACACACATACTGTACACACACTGTCACACTGTACACACACACTGTACACACACTGTACACACACTGTACACACACACTGTACACACTCTACACACACTCTACACACACTGTATACACACTATACTGTACACACACTGTACACACCCTGTACTGTACACACACTGTACACACACTATACTGTACACACACTGTACACACCCTGTACTGTACACACACTCTACACACACTCTACACACACTCTACACACACTATATACACACTATACTGTACACACACTGTACACACACTGTACTGTACACACACTGTACACACACTGTACTGTACGCACACTGTACACACACTGTACACACACTGTACACACAAACTGTACACACACTGTACACACACTGTACTGTACACATACTGTACTGTACACACAATGTACCTCACAGTGTACCACACTGCACACACACTGTCCCAAAAACTGTACACACACTGGGTCTCACACTGTACACACACTGTAGCACTGTACACACACTGTACAGTACACACACTGTACACACACTGTACACACACTGGGTCTCACACTGTACAGTACACACACTGTAGCACTGTACACACACTGTACAGTACACACACTGTACACACACTGTACACACACTGTACACACACTGTACACACACACTGTACACACACTGTACACACACTGTACAGTACACACACACTGTACACACACTGTACACACACTGTACTGTACACACACTGTACACACTGTACACACACTGTACTGTACACACACTGTACACACACTGTACTGTACACACACTGTACACTGTACACACACTGTACAGTACACACACTGTACACTGTACACACACTGTACACACACTGTACACACACTGTACACACACTGTACACTGTACACACACTGTACACACACACACACACTGTACACACACTGTACACACACTGTACACACACTGTACACACACTGTACTGTACACACACTGTACACACACTGTACACACACTGTACTGTACACACACTGTACACACACTGTACTGTACACACACTGTACACTGTACACACACTGTACAGTACACACACTGTACACTGTACACACACTGTACTGTGCACACACTGTACACTGTACACACACTCTTGTGTGTCTTCTGTGCTCAGAATAGTAAAGTACACGTTAAAGCGTCTCTATAGTTGGCGTCCTTGAGTCTTGCCAATAGCAGCTGTGTTTTGCTCCGCAGAGGCTGAACTCTGAGCTTCCTCTCACCGCCGACGAACTCGAGAATGTCTTTGACACACTCGACTCAGATGGAAATGGATACCTCACGCTGGACGAGTTCTCCTCAGGCTTCAGTACGTGTAGATGTAAAATAAATATAAAGGCGTACTGTGTTTTATCTTTGTTATTTATCGTGATTTTCTTTGTCCAGGTGAATTTTTGTTTGGACAAAATGGCTCTGTAGAGGCAAATATGGAAGAGAAAAACCCGGGAAACGGCGAAGTGGAGACAGTGTACCAGGGCCAGTGGGAGGAGAGTCTGGTCAGTCCTGACGATGAAGAGGAGCAGCACTTCACGATGCTCATGGAGAGTCTGGGAGCCAATCATATCTTTGAAAAGTGAGTTAAAGGTCCTACATTACACAAAATGGATTCTCCTCAGCTTTTAGTCTTGTTATGTTTCAGATTTAACAGCACATTTTCAGGAGGCTATTCATGGTCCTGTTTATGAGTTTAATAAAAAAAAAAAAAAAAGGTGATAGTGCTGGTTAATGCTTTTGACTGTAATTTTATGTGAGTGTGAGATTATTTATTTTGGAATATATTTGACTGAGCCCATTATTGACATTAGACTCTGACTGTGTTCCAGTCCCACAGAGATCCGCAGTCTGTGGGCTCAGCTCCGGAGGGACGAGCCTCACCTCCTCTCCAACTTCGAGGACTTCCTGTCCCGAGTGACCTCACAGCTCATCGAGGCCAACCAGGAGAAGAATGAGATGGAGAGCGCCCTCAAGAGGTCAGAAAACATCAGTGTGTATTTGATTTAAAGCTCCTATGTTACACAAAATAGATTCTTGTGAGCTTTAAACCATGTTATAATGTTACCTCCTCAAAAACACATGTGGAGTTGTGTTTTGTTTCATTCACACATGTTTAGGCTCCAAGGCTCAAAACGCTCTGCTCCACCTTGTGATGTCATGAAACGGTAGTTTTCAAGTTAACGGCTCCTTTTACCTTTTGTTCAGTAGAGATCGGCAGTTCCAGGGCGGAAATGATCCAAATGATTCTAGTGAAGGTGTGTGGAGTTTAAAAACACAGTGGAGCACATCCATGACATCACGAAATGGAACAGAATGTTTTCAGTATGAGATAACTCGGCCTAAATATGCAGAGTTTAAATTTGCCTTATTCAATGTCTGACAGTTGTGTGTGTGTGTGTTGATTTTGTTGTTTTTTGGTGTTTATTTAAATTTATGCAGTGTCTTGTCTGCCCTACTGTATCTGTCTTCTGCTGTTGTGACCGTGAGGATCCCCTCGAAAATGAGATCTCAAGGGGCTTATCCTTCAAACAAATACATTTAAATTCAAATTCAAATTGGATATAGTAAAAAATCTTAATTGAATTTAAATCTCTCATTATTCTGATTTTAGGTTATTGTTTCAGTGGAATACAGTGGTTTTCATTGTTATTGTTTATCCCAGTATTTCGAGGTCATCAAACTAAGGCCCGCGGGCCGACTCTGGCCCTCCATGCCTCTTTGACCGGACCCCCAGCCCCTCTTACCCCCACCACTTGAACTGGACCCATGAGACAATCCTTAAAAATTGCCATGGCCTATTTTTTTTAATTACTTTTTGGCAAATAATAACACGTCTGCATCTTGTAGTTTGTTGATTTTATTTTAATTTATATAATATATTTATATTTAAATAATTATAGGACGTAGTTATATTTGCCACCAAATTTGCCGCTGAATTTTACTTTCTGTAGTGTAGTTAAGGACGGCAAAATGTCTCACGTTAAAGTTCGAAAAGTTGACAGAGAGTGCAGAGTTTTCAGGGAACAGTGAGCAACCGATTTTTTTTTGTTCAGTGTAAGGAGCCTGCAGTTTGTCTGATGTGTAAAGAAAGTGTGACGGTTTTTAAAGAATGTAATCTGCGTCGTCAGGGTCAAACAATTCTGTTATACGACCGACCTGACCCCGACCTCTATCATAGTCTGGAGCGATCATGTGGCCTCCAGAGAAAAAAAGTTTGGTGACCCACGCACTATTTAGAATCTCAATATATTGTATGTTCTTGAACATGAGTTGTTACAGGTCATGCATTAAATTGAGCTTTGTTTCTTATGACTCAAAAATAATCCGTACATTTTTATTATTTTACAGAAAAGCAGCCACACACGACGATGAGATCCGGCATCTGTACGAGGAGATGGAGCAGCAAATCAAAAACGAGAAGGACAAGATCGTGTTACAGGTAAAATATATGTATAATAAAGTTTTCTGAAGGTGCATTGCGCAACTTTTTTCTTGTATCCATGGAGATGTTATTGCTTCGTCTAGAATGTTCCACGGTATGACATTAAACATATGGATCTAGCTTGTGTTTTGTATTGCTCAAAAATACGGTAATTCCTTCTGTGAATTGGGGCGACTCTCCACAGATCTGACCTATAATATAGCTTATAGTTGAGACAGATTGGTTTAATTTCTACTGTGGAACATTCTAGGCAAAGTATTTACATTTGTACAGAGACAAGCAGCGGACTCTCGGCTTGAATTGTAAAAAAAAAAAAAAACACTCATCTAACTGCGTCTTCTCTTTTGTTTCAGGACTACAAGCAGTTTCTGTCTCGGAGTCAGGACTTGGAGCTGCAGCTGTCGTCCAAAGAGAAAGAGCTGGAGCAAATTTTTCAGAAGCAGAAGAGGGTGAGCGAACGCAGCCAGAACTCTCCGAGGGTTCTGTACTCTTAAACTTTTTTTCTGGGGACCCATATTTTCAAAGTCACAAACCTTCGCGACTCAAGTCAGTAGACATTATTCATAAAAATAAAGGCAGATTTGATCATTACTGAACATTAATGAGGATATTTTATTGTTGACTGACTGAACAATTAGTATTACTCAAGTTTTAAACCATGAAAAACTGAAATTTAAGCAGCAACAAAAGGATCCATAAGTCGCCTATTTGGACATTAAATGAAGCCCATTTCTTTTTCTTTTCAACATTCAATCGAACCAGCAAAATTGAATCAAAATAGTCAATAAAATAATTACAAAAAGATTAGAAATTATACAAAATATGTCTTAACAGTTCAAGAGATAGGAGGGCCTGCCTGTGTTTTTGTAGCGTGTTCCAGTCTGGGTGTAGCCAGGCTGGCGCCACCTAGTGCCTCCGCTCAATTTTATTTCTCTCCAGCGACTAGATCAGGAATCAGAATACAATAGAGGGTTCGCAAAAATGCCAGAAGTGCGAGTTCGGGCACCAGCCAATCAGCGAAGAGTCATATATTCTGTGTTGGCAACGATTCCCGAGAGCGAGGATTTAAAGCCCGAACAAAGAGAATGTTTGGTGAATTTTATCAAGGGGAAAGACGTTATTGTCCTTCTTCCTACGGGATTTGGGAAAAACTTAATATACCAGTTAGCCCCGTTAACGGCGCATTACATACGCCACTACCAAATAGCAGCGATTGGTTAAATGATTAAAAAGTACCTGCCTCCCGTACGAAATCTAAGGCTGCGAGGTCAGACGGTTTCCGAAGTAAAACGGCTGATGAGTCGGGCTAGTCCGGGTGCAGGAGAAGACGCGGCAGCAGATCAGACGCAGCATTCAGTCTGTTTCTGTGCTTTGTTTTAATTTTTGTGAGAATAGAAAATCCAAATTCACACATATATGTAGTAGTGAAAAGAATAAGCACATCAACACTGGCCCTTCTGAGGACAGGAGATTCTGACGAAATGCTGATCCAGAATGACGATAATATATTTGCTGACACACTGGCGCCCTCATGTGTCAGAACTGTATATTGCAGATCAACATGCAGACTGTGACAAAAAACATCGTGACCCAGTCTTTGGAAAACAAAGCTCTACTCAATGCTAGTTTAGTTTGACATTTAGAACAGCTAGAGATGAGTTTCAAACAGTGCATCTTTGTGAATGTTTGAATGATTTTACAGAGAAACAAAAAATGTGTTTGAACAACTGAATCTCTTTTTTCTCTGGTTCTTTATTTGTGTTAAAAATATAAAAACAATTGTGAAGCCAAAATTGGAAACTGAACCGTGAAATGTATATATTAGGATTTATCTTCTCGTTCTCATAGACCTGATCTCTTAGGGGTGTACGAAAAAATCTATTCAGTTATATATCAATCATAAAAAAATTAAAGACAGACACTACAGAAAAGTAAAAGTCCCATGAGGTTAGTTAAAAGGCCTTTATTTAATTGGTTGATTTGACCATACACAGTCTTCATCAGGACTTACTGTAGCTAGAATCAAAATTAAGATTCTAGCTAAGTCCTGATGAAGTTCCGAAATGTGTTTAAAGGTGCACTGCGCAACTTTTCTAGTGGAGGGTCCGCTACCTTTTTGTCTCCGTGATGTTATTACTTTGCCTGGAATGTTCCATGGTGTGACATTAAACATATCCAGCCTGTATTTATACATTACTGGTGTTTCTATTGCTCAAAAATACAATCGTTCCTTCTGTGGATATGAGCGCCTTTCCACAGATCTGAATTGTAATGTAGGGTAGTGCTGTAACCTGCTTGTGTCCCTTGTGATAGACAGGTTTAATCTAGACTGGGGAACATTCTAGACAAAGCAATAACATTTCCATGGAGGAGGAGGCAGCAGATCCTCCGCTGGAAATGTATTTTTCCTCTTACGACTTTAACTTTTCTGGAGTGGTTTAGTTTTTGTTCTAATGCTTTATGGTTGTTGACTCCTGCATGCATTTCTATACAAGTTACGGCTGTAATATTAATAATAATAATAATAATATTCAAACATTACACTTGTATTCTTATGTTTGCTGATTTGCTCTTTCTTCCTTTTTCATTAAGTATTTTTTCTTTTATTTTACTGTATGTCCACCTCTCATTTAATTATTGATGAACCGTTTCTCATCCTGTATTCATGTTTTTTTTCTGTTTGTAGCTGGAGCTCCAGTGTCAGGACCTCCACAGTGAACAGCACGAGACCAAAGAGGAGAACGTGAAGTTAAAACAGACGAACGAGGAGCTTCAGCGGGAGTTGGAGCACACGTCGCAGGAGCTGAGTCTGGCCCAGGAGCAGCTGCTGATGCTGCAGATGCAGTCGACACGGTTACACGAGGAGAAGGAGATGTGAGTCTGAACCCGCAGGTCACAGACACAGAAGAAAATCAGAAGGGGAATCCAAGATGGCATCGTGTTCATTGGTAGCCTGATTCATCAGCTGAGACACATTTTTTGTTTCTCTGTACAAGCTGTCTAAAACTGAATTCTAGCTGTTCAAAATGTCGAACTAAACTAGCATTGAGTAGAGCAGGGGTGTCCAAACTTTTTTCATCAAGGGCCACATATCTAAACACAGACAAAGCAGAGGGCTGATCGAGGGCCGTAGACTGATGCTAAATATAGGGAATAATTGAAATGTGTGCATGTTTAACACGTGAGAATGAGCCATCAGTCTTTAATCATGCTAAGATCCTTAAAACCACACAATAAATATTAAATGTTAGCTTTATCAAGGTAGATTTTCAAAAAACTTGCAGTAAAACATTATTTTTTTAATTGATGCAAGGTCATTTGGGCCAATTCACCTGGAAGCCTGAGGGCCAAGAAAAATTTATCTGAGGGCCGCATTTCAAAGACTGGGTTGCGATATTTCTTGTCACGATCTGCAATGTACAGTTCTGACACAAGAGAGCGCCAGTGTATCAGCGAATATATTATCATCATTTTGGATCAGCATTCTATCAGAATATCCTGTCCTCAGTTGAGCAAGTATTTCTGTGCTTATTCCTTTCACTACTACATATCTGTGTGAATTTGGATTTTTTGTTCTCACAAAAATGAAGACAAAGCACAGAAACAGAGTGAATGCTGCGACCTGCTGCTGTGTCTCCTCCTGCACCCGAACTAGTCTGATTCATCAACCGGTTTTACTTCGTTTCACTTCGTACAAACCGTCTGACCTCGCAGCCTTAGATTTCGTTCGCTCGACAGTAGGCGGGTACTTTTCATCATTTAACCAATCGCTGCTATTTGGTCGTGACGTATGTAATGCGCCGCTAACGAGGATAACTGGTATATTAAGCTTTTCCCAAATCCAGTAGGAAGAAGGACAATAACGTCTTTCTCCTTGATAAAATTCACCAAACATTCTCTTTGTTCCGGCTTTAAATCCTCGATCTCGTGAAACGTTGACAACACAAAATATATGACTCTTCGCTGATTGGCTGGTGCTCGAATTCGCACTTCCGGGATTTTTGCGAACCATCTAGTGTATTCTGATTAATGATCTAGTCGCTGGAGAGAAATGAAATTGAGTGGAGGCACTAGGTAACTCCAGTCTGGCTAGTTCATTGCCACATGGGCCCAAAAATAATTCTCTCTTCCTCATTACTTATGTCAACCTTTTTTCTCCAGTGAGCTACTTTTACAAAACAAAAATGCCTGAGAGCTGTCAGTTTCAGCAAAGAAACAGTAAATATGAACAGCACGGCGAGCCTTAGATTGGGAACAGTTAGATGCTTATAAAACGTAAACCATTATTCATTTATTAGCAGTGTTGGGGAGTAACAGATTACATGTACCAGAGTTATGTAATCAGAGAACAAATTATGAGTAACTGTATTCAGTTACAATTACTGTTTCAGTGAGTGGTAATTGGATTACAGTTACTTTGTTAAAATAAATGGATTACATGGCGGTATTTTCCTGTTTTCCTGTTTTGGGCTATATCCCCCCCTTTTTTTTTTTTTCGGTAATTTCATTTATTGCCAGAAACTCAACCAGGACTAAAACCAGGTCTAAATTAGATCTAAAACAGGACTAAACCAGGACTAAAACTAGATCTAAACTAGATCTAAACCAGGACTAAACCAGGACTAAAAGCAGGACTAAACTAGGAGTAAAACAGGACTAAACCAGGACTAAACCAGGATTTAACAGGACTAAAACAGGACTAAATCATGCTGCGCTGACGTGTCTCCTCCTCTTCTATCAATAATATTTTTAATACGGTTAAGTAAAGTCTGGGTTTTTCATTTTCTTTAAGCAGATAAAACATCTTATGTTACGATTTCCTTGTCTTTGCTTCTCTACAGCAATTCAAGTAATCCAAAGTATTTCAGATTACTTTACTCACTTTAAGTAATTTAATGGATTACGTTACAAACTACATTCTGGGATATGTAATCTGTAATCTGTAGGGGATTACATTTTAAAAGTCACCTTCCCAACACTGTTTATTGGTGCATCAACTTAGACCTTACAATGGTAATTAATAACATTTTACTTATTATCCACAATACATAGAAGGGGGTGGAGGAAAGCGACTAGTACCTCCCGAGTTACAGGTTGGAGACTCACGGACTAACTGCACACCGTGGTCCATTTTGCCCAATCAGAGCAAATTTCAAACACATTTCAGAACCCAAAGTAACTCTCCGAGGCTGAAAATAAGAAGGTCTAAGTCTGTTTTTTTTTTTTTTTTTTTTTTTTTTATCATAACAGGGAAATGTACACACTGACTGAAGGACTTCAACGGGAGCGAGCCAGTTTACTGAAACAGCTCGACCTGATGAGGTGAGACCAACGAAACGAAGCAAACACAAAATACAGCGCATTTTCTTTACTATTAAAAGCGCCCATCATCACAAACAGACCTGGAGTTGTGTTTTGTTTTATTCACACACGTTTCACGCCCAAATCCTCAAACTCTCAAACAGAAAACACGATGGAAACGAGGTGGAACAGAGCGTTTTGAGCTTTGGAGATGTAGATAGACTAAAAATAAAGCAGTACTCAAACTCAAACAAATGTGTGAATGAAACAAAACACAACTCCAGGTTTGTTTTTGGGGAGGTAACTGCATTTTAACGTGACTTGTAGCTCTGAAGTGTAAATTTTCCATAATATAGGACCTGAATAATCCACCTCAACTTCATAAAAACTCATATTTTTGGAACCCAGAATGACTGTCTTTAATTTGTGTTGCTTTTTACTTTTTTTTTTACAGAGAAATGAACAAATATTTACGAGATGAGAGAGACATCAGTTTTCAGGTTTGTGCAGAAAATACGCAGATTATTATACAAATGCCATGTGTAGTAAGTGTTATTTCTTTAACAGAAACCAAAGAAAAGCACCGGTTCTTTACGGACGTCTTCTTACTCTCAGTCTCCAAAAGGCTCCTCTTCAGACGTCTTCAGAAAGTAAAACAACCATCTCATATTTGCTTTTTTTTAATGTTCATTTTCATCTAAGTAAATAGTTAATCTCTGATTTTGTTTATTCAGAGAGTTTATTAGTGAAATGTATTTACTTTGACATGTTTTGGCTGTGGGTCCTCCTCAGAACTGTCCCCAGTGTTGATTGTGGCCACAGATTGTATATAAACTGACATTGCATATTATATATTGTATTGTATTAATATTATCACTGCTCTACATGATCCTGGTGTTTTTATTTCACTATTTTGAATTTGGAACATTCGCTCCGATAACCGGAAGCCTCATTAAGCTTCATTTGACTGGAGCCGAACGCTATTTGTGACGTGACACTCACCGGCCACTTCCTTATGCAGTTTTATGCTCCTGCTGCCTGATAAGTTTTGTTTTTGTTTTTTGTAGATTTTTTATTTATTTTTATTTTTAAGTTTTAAGACACCACATAGTGACAAAACAAAGCAAAACAACAATACGAAGACTGACAAACAATATAAATAAATGAGTACAGACAGACACATGTGGTAATAATTAGTTTTGCATATACTGATTGAACCAGCAGCAACAGTTACTTTGCTATTTACATTATTTAACTCCCTTTTCTCTGTTCCTATCTTTAATCTTTATTGCAGTGAAGATGAGACGGGCGCCGCCGCGAGGTTGGGCAGTGTCTCCTCAGAAGCTCCTCGAGGACATTTCCAAAGAATCATCTCCATAGAGGAAGATCACCTGCCGCACCTGCTGCAGAACTGCCAGGTGCAGAGCCCTCTGAAGGAGTGCAGCGAGGGAGAGGAGGAGAACATGGACCTGACCATGAGTGAGATCATTCCACAGCCGAGAGACACTGAGACGCCGATGTCTCCGAGAGGACAACCTGTGGGCAAAGAGACGAGTCTAAACGTGAGTGTGATAACAGCTCGACTAAAATTATGAGGCTGTTTGTCTTCGGTCACTTATTACTAGGGCTGCTCGATTATGGAAAAAATTATTATCACAATTATTTTGGTCAATATTGAAATCACGATTATTCAAACGATTGTTTTTTAGTTACATGATGCATTTATTCAGCATTTCTCTCAAAAACAAAACAAAACACTAATTCATTTATGCAAAACTTTCAAACTAAAAATAAATATAGGCTACAAATATGTACTTTAGAGCAGTTTTGCGAAGTATAAAACATAAAATGAATAAAATATACTTTGAACATGAAATAAGGCATAGATAAACATAAATGTATCCAAAATAAACTATATATCCAGCTGTTCTATAATATCTATATTTAAAAAATTTAATAAATATACTTATATATACTTGTTTATATAAAAAAAAATCCCACAATAAATGTTATTTATTTAAGAAATGTTGTTTATTGTGGGAAACGTTGTTAAGGTTTATCGTTTCAACTTGATGAAACCTCGCAATCAAAATTCAATCAATTGCACAGCCTCACTTATTAGTATAACTTATTTGTATTATTTTATTAATCAACTGAGAATTTTATTAGAAAAAGACAACAGCAACAGAAATGCGAAGGACTGTAGGAGTCATTGGTTGAGCGGTCAGATCCATTGACCCACAGGTTGGCAGTGTCCTTGGGCAAGACACTGAACCCCCTCACCCACAGTGTCACTGCTGTGTGTGAATGGGTGAGTGTTTCCTTCATGTAAAACTTTTTGCGTAACTTGAAGGTGGTAAGGCATTTTATAAAAACATTTACCATTTATTTCTGTGTAAAGTTTTCATATAAAACTTAACATGGAAAGTCACATCCCGGCAATATTTTTGTAAATACTCACACTTTATAAATGAGAGCAGAGCATGCCTTTAGTCAACGAAAAAGTTTGTTAATTACATTTCAACCCTAGAACAATCTTTTTAAAACATTTTTTGTGTGTTTTTCAGGAGGAAGGCAGCTCCTCTCCCCCAGATCGTCTGTTTAAAATCATAATCGTTGGAAACTCAAGTGTAGGAAAGACCTCACTGCTCAAGAGGTTTTGTGACGACTGCTTCCACCCGGATTCCTCTGCCACAGTGGGTACGTATCAAATAATGCACTGTATGTTATGTTATATTGGCCATTAATTGTGCTGAATTAAATAGTTCAGAAATAAAATATTCTTCTTCAAGTTTACATGGACATATTAATTCTGAATTGAGGTTTACATGGAAAACACGTTAAATCGCCTTTATTTAATTCCGCTCAGCGTCTGGGGTCGGGGGAGGTTCTGACTGGACAGAGACACGAACGTATTTACGTCAACTGGAAGAAAACACACACTTCAGCTGCTACCGGCTTTTCTGTCATCTCTGTTTGTCGTTACGCCACGGACACAAACATGATCCAAACTTTTTTCGTGGTCATTCCGATGATAATTGCGCAGCAGCTGGAGAATTCTCTCATCACGCTTTACGTCTGTCAGCTGAGGAGGAGAAGGGAAGAGTGTCGGAGAAGGAAGGAAGAAGACAAACTGAGTCAACGGCTGCTCTACCTCAGCCCACTCCCGCATCCCGCTCACAAATCCAAAGAGACGTGGATGAAAGTCCGAAGTCAGGACTGGTGGAGCCGGATCGAAGGGCGATACAACGAGCATGAACTGAACGACCGCAATTATTTTTAAGAAGAATAAACGTTTACATGATCGAAGAATAAATTAATTCAGCTTTAAAATCTGAATAAAACAACCACTGAATTAAGGTTAATTCTGAATAATAATTTTCATTAGGGATTAAGTGTTTACATGGCTTTTTAAAGCAGAATTCAGTTTTATTCAGAAGCAAATGATTTTTATTCATAATTAAAGCTCTCATGTAAACGTGGCACTTATAATACCTATTTTCTAACTCTTTCTGTTCGTAAATCCAGGTATAGACTACAGTGTAAAGACGATTACGGTGGACAACAACCAAATTGCTCTGCAGATGTGGGACACAGCCGGACAGGAGCGGTAAGAGTCTAAACATTTTTGTGACCATTAATTTGTAGTGACATAATGCTGGGGGTGTTCCACATGCATCTCTATGGGAGGAATGTTATGTAATGTAATGTGGCACAGCGCACACATTAGCAAACACAGACAAAAAGTTAGATTTTCAGAGAGAAAGCTGGTGACATCAACGTCGGAGTATCAGTTGTGATGTCACGTTTAGTTTTAATTCATGTTTTTCTCGCAGGTATCGCAGCATCACCACACAGTTCTTCCGGAAAGCCGATGGAGTGATCGTGATGTTTGATATCACAGACATGTGCAGCTTCACCGCTGTCAGACAGTGGCTCACGAGCATCAACGTAAGTCAGAAAATACTGCATATGACCTCCTGAAGTCAGTTGTTGTTGTACTGTTGTGTGTTATTTTTATTAAGTCGCTTCAGAGTATAAGTCACACCAGCCAAAAATGCTTAATGAAGAAGAAAAAAAAAAAACGTATATGAGTCGCACTTTTTGGGGGAAAAAAAACAACAAAAAAACAGAGACCAGGAGTCGACATTTCCTCTTGAAAGTCAAGTTCTAGTAATAACAATAGAACAGAGAACAACAGACTGTTAACGTCACTATAACATAAACAACTGAACAGAACAAGTTTACCAAACTCTCCATCTCACTCCAAATCACTAAATCCATTCAATTCTTCATCCTCTGTGTCACTTCTGAGCAACTCCCATAGAACTATAATAAATTATTATAGATCCATGGCAATTCCGCAACCGCCAGAGGTAAACAGAGCGCCGCTTCCTCTTCTGTGTCGCTGTCGTCAGACTCAGCATCAGTTCCAGTTAGAATTATTCCAGCTTTTCTGAATCCCGACAGGATGGTTTCGGTGTCACTGAAGTTCAGGCTTTGTCGTTGTTGTTGTTTTCCAGGAGGCTGCAGGGGATGACATCGCCATTATGCTTTTGGGAAACAAAACGGACAAAGAAGAAGAGCGACAGGTGCAGACGAGGATGGCTGAACGGCTCGCAAAGGTTTCTACATTTATATGTTTGCGTCACTGATAAAAATAATGAATAAAGATCTGTAATTGTTATAATGTTTGCTCCTTTTTAGGAATGCGAGATGAAGTTTTTCGAGTGCAGCGCCAGCTCGGGACACAATGTGATGGACTCTATGGTTCATATGGCCAGGTGAGAAGAATTACAGTTTAGTAATAGTTCGATTGATACTTTGTAGTAACATTGCGCTGGGGGGGTTCTGTATGTATGACTATGGCGGAATATTATTATTATTATTATTATTATCATTATTTAGTGCTTTTCTAAACATTCAAAAATGCTGTACAAAGAATACAATTAAAAAGAGTACATATTTACATATCTGGCACAACCCTAAAATTTCCTGAGAGCGTTATAGACGCATCAAGAATCTCGGACTTCCGGTCATTGTGCAATGCATACTGGGAAGGATTTTCCACAAAAGTGAGCATCAAACCGCCATGTTTGTTTTCCCAGTGGGATGCGTCTATTGTCAAAGCTCGATCTTTTCAAGTCTTTTGAACCATATCACTTTTGTTTCTGGTTCTGATATTGTCATATTTTAGTTTTGGGATTCAGACATGGTAACTGTGTGGTTGTTGGATCCTAACACCGGAAAACGGCTCGAGAAATTTGTTTGCGAACTCCATTAATGAAAAAGGGAATCAGATCTGTGTGACTGCAAACCTCCGTTCAAACTGTTTCCCTTCCCAACGCAATTGAAAAATAGTGAAAGGCGAAGGTGATGGACCAAAAAGGAAACCTTTGACTGCCTAAATCATCCCGATTTTGCAGTGAACATTTTGTATGTGGAGCGACAATAAAGCAAAATCCCATTGTTAAGCGAGAGGTGCAGAAGACAAACAGACTGAGCTCACACTTTCTTGTTCAGTTGGCTTTACAGTCGAACTTTACTGGCTTTTTTTTTTTTTTTTTAATGTGAGTAGACTAACTAATTTAGTTTCATAAAGGGTAAAATTCAGGAGGATTTTCCAGCTGGTTCCCAATGACTCAGCACAGAGATTGTGTCTGTGATTTGTGGCTAAAATTACATTCTAATAATTTTCTGAACATGTTTTTCATTCAAGTGGAGCATGTTTCAGCATGATATTAAATTTGTCTATCTTCATGGAACTTTGTGTAATATGTGTTATTTAAGATACAAGAAAAAAACAATACACTACAATTTGCAGTAAAATTTTATTTTATTTAAAGCAGTGTTGTTGTTTTTTATGATGCATTGAGTCACTTAAGTCGCAGGAGAGATGATGTCCTTCTCGTCGGTTTAGTGTTCTGAAGGCCCAGATGTGTTGGACCTTCTTGTAAACACTGTAAACCGTTGGAGCCATTTTGGTTTCCTGAAGATTGTCCTGCTTGTTCTTGTTTTCCGGAGATTAAATAATCTTGAAAACAGCACCCGGAGACGATTCGGAATCAGCCTGCCGAAGAAGGACCTGGAGGCTTTCTGAGTCAGTTGGCTAATCTGAGCTTCTGTAGCTTCTCTGTCCTGGAACAGCTTCTCAATGTCCTTCAGTATCTCTCTGCAATCAGGCAGCTCCTTTTTCAGTCTTTCTAAAATGTCTTTTGTGTCTGTCTCCAATGCAATGTTTAGTTGATCTTGTTGGATTTTGCAAGGATCAACTTCTGACTGGCTCCCTAGAATCCCTGTATCTCCATTGGCGCGGGGATCTTTAGTGGACTTCTGAGATCCACAAAATGAACTCACATCTGGAGAGCTAGTGGTACATTTGTAGCTACCACAAGTAGATTCAAATGAGATGGAAAGACTTGGGATTTGGAGGACAACATGCCAGGTATTGACATCTGATGAAACACTGACTGGACTAGGAACTGTTAAATCCATCTCGGCAATTTCTCGGTTGGCCTCTAGTTGTGATGGTTCAAACTCAGCCTCAGTGACACGCATTAACTCATGAGCCTCCTTCGTGTAGTCATCACCTTCAGGTAAGTGCTCCATGGTGATGAACGGGTGATCGAGGGCTTTCGATGGCATGATCCTCTCCTCCGCGTCCATTTTCAACATTTTACTGAGCAGGTCGTGAAACTGCTCCATATCTCTTTCCTCCTGATGGGAGACAAACTTTCTAGAACCTTTAAGAAGCTGCTCCAGGTTTGTTGCTGAAGGCTTGTGAAGTGCCATCCTAGGATTAATCCCAGTGGTCTTCGTAAACTCCTGCAGAGTTTTTAGTCTCCACTTGGAGTTTTCCTGAACGAAGTAGTTTGACGTGCACAATGCCACGTCCAGCAGCTTCTCTGAGGGAACCCCAAAGAAATGCACGATCTTGTTCAGGAAGTCGAACTCAGAAAATCCCTTGAAATCTGTGCTACGTACAAACCAGTGAAGGAGACAGCAAGCCACACCCCACATGTCAACAGCCTCCCAAAGTGGAAGACCCAAAGTTACTTCTGGGGCACGGTACGAAATTGCCTGCATCACCAGTCCAATTGGTACTTCTTCAGAGTGCCTTGCCAATCCAAAATCTATTAACTTAATTTTGAATGGCCTCTCCTTCTGGTTGACTAGCATAATGTTGTCTGGTTTAATGTCGGTGTGCATGACACCGACACAACGCAGACCATGAAGAGCTATGAGGAGCTGCTTTGCCATTGGTCGTATTTGGCTCAGCGTGAAACTCCTCATCTTTCGCCAGAGTCTGTAGACACTTAGATCTAACATCTCAAATGCGAGCGACCCACAGCCATCATGGTTTAAACAGTCAACCAGTTTGACCACGTTGAAGCTGTCTGGGTACTGTAGCCCCTCCTTGATGTAACTCAACATTTCCAACTCTCTGTGGAAATTTTGGGAGGAGGTTCCGTCACCCTTGAGGCATTTTAAAGCGACAAGTTCCCCTGTCACTCGATCACGGCACTTGGTAACGGTACCGTAAACGCCCTCTCCGATGACTCCCAAAACCTCGTACTTGGTTTCGGGGTTGGTTTGCTTTAAACCGGTGAAATCCATTGCCGAAAACACGTTGCGATCTGCGAGCTCTGCTGAGTCTGTGCGTACACTGGTTGTGTCTGGGTTGAAGTGACCTTTATTTAGTGTGCTTCTAGAACAGAAAACTCCATGGCAACGATGACGCACAAAGTTACGTAACCGCATTCTACCCGTTTATGCAAATAGAATGTTTATATTTGATTTGTATGTATAAATCAAAAATCTAATCGCTATGGCAACGCTTATAAGTGAAATGCCAAGCCCAAATTATAGTTCTGTATCGACTTAACGCACACTGCCTCGTCGCCATCGTAGTAAAATCCCGATTCCTCACTCCACCTCGGTTACGAATTTAAAAAGTCAACGCTAAAGTGAAAGGCACCAGCTGTTCACCAAAAAAATGCCTTCCACTGCAAAGCGACCAAGACGTGATGTTGCTGTAAAACCACAAGAACAAGAAAGTGCGAGCTCAGCCTGTTTGTCTTCTGTACCTCTCGCTTAACAAACAGGATTTTCTTTGTTGGCGCTCCACATACAAAGGCTACGTTTAGACTAGGGTTGTCCCGATCCAATCACGTGACCAGAAATCTGTGCCGATCACGTGACTGCGGAATCGATCTGGACTCGACTGTTAAGGTCCGATCAGGTATCGGATAAATAATATACGTACATAACACACGGTGCACAGAGGACACACAGCACACAACAGTTTGTTTTTTAACTGAGGCGCGGGATTTGCTCAGGGACGTCCAGTCAGCGCGACTGTCTGTCCCAGCGCCTGCTGTACTAGAGGCGCACTTGTGCTGGGGCTTTCGGGCCGTGCCGTGCTCGGGCGCTGTTACCTGTGGTTCTGTGGCCCGTGTTCACACCTGCGCGGCCGATGGCGTTTGTTTGCATGTTGCCCAGTGGAGTTGGCGCTTTTGGGGGGAGGGTGGGAAAAGCATGAAGCGTCTATTGAGCGGTGGGACTGATGCTGCGGTGTTGCTCTGCTGTGGGTTTGCGGATGTGGTGGCGGTGCGAGGGAATGGGAGCAGCTGCGGAGAGAGGCTGTGGGGCTTCTGTCATCTCGTTCTTATTTGGTAAATAAGATTTTGTATTATTTGGAGCTCATAGATGAGCCTAAATGTTTCAAATGTAATGCACAGGCTTCCATATAATATCAAATATACAAACTGTAGATTGTGCAGAGTCTCAGGTCTGATCTGATTCTGGTCTGGTTCCTGTTTTGTCCAGTTCATTAAGTAAACTACGTTACACATTCCAAGACCAGACTGTGGTAAAAGTTAAAATTTTCAACAATGATTTTGAATGGTTAGAAAAGTTAATACAATTGAAGTTGTGGACATTTGATTTTTCACACTAAGTTCAGCCCAAATATTACAAATTGAAATGAATACAGTCTGATCCCCCCCAAACATCCTGGATCTTATTCTTCACTCAGTTCATTTCATAATTTTTATAGAAGTATCGGATTGGGCCTCGATATCGGCAGATACTTAAAATCAACTCGGACTCGGACTTGGACTCGGGGGCAAAAAATGTGATCGGGACATCCCTAGTTCAGACTGCAGGGCTTAATGCTCAATCTGGATTTTTTTGTGTGAAATCCGATGTTTCTTCAAGGTCGTTCACATTTCCCATTAAATGTAACTTGTATGTGATCTCCAGTGTGAACGTTAAACGCCCCAAAAGTGTCCCGCATGTGCACTGGAGACATGACAACGTCAACCGCAGCGAGCGTGATCTGTGTTTACGGAAGTTGTCCAAACATGGACGCGAGCATTGAGCACCTGGAGATTTAAAAGTTCCTCTCGTACCAGAGCCAGAACATGAACAACTTACTTGTTTTAAGGAGGAGATTGAGAAGGAGAAGGACGAGGTTTTTGACCGTGGTGTTTTGTAGGACAGTCCTTTGAAAGGAACGTGTGCATGCGGAGATGAAGCCAAGAGTGGTGGGATAGCGATGTGTTTTGTTTCAGTGACACGGAGTTCATTAACAATTTTGTATGACAAGAAGAAAGTTTGTGTACATTTGTGGCTTGTTGATAAGGTGTAGGTCGGATGAATGCGCTTTGGCCGTTCAGACTGAAGTCGCATGTCAAAAGATCAGATATGTATCAGTTTTTCATTTTTCATTAAAAGATCAGATACAGGTCACATAGGGGCCAAAAAATCTGATTTGTGTCAC